ATCTCATTTCCAATTTTAAGAGAGGTTTTATTAATAATGTTAAGCTAAATATGGTAAGAAGAGAAAACAAACTGAAATACAAATAAAGCAATCAAATACTGCAGAATTATGCTGAGTTCTCCCCTCCTCCTGCACTTTTTTTTTCATCCTGAGTCAAGCTAATAGTTTTTTACTAAATCTCAACTTTCTTCCAGGACATTTTTTGAGGAACAGACTCACATTCACAGATACCAGGTATCTGGTTCTAATCAATTTCATTGTAATTTTTAAGGCTGAAAAGTACTATGATATCTATAATGAAATTTCTTAGATTAACCAAGGTTGCAGGCATCAGAATGAAAAATAACTTATTTTACATTTTTTTTCATAATTTAATTCTGTAATTTTGACAGTGATCTATCTGTGTTAATCTGTACATGTTCTTAAAAATTTTAATTGATCACAACTGCACAGAACAGTGCTGTGTGTTCTGACAGAGATGACTCAGATGACCCATATATAGTGTATATTAGCTTCACCAGTAAGAAAAACTGCAAGAAAACCAGTACTGGTTTTAGCTGAGATTCTCACATAGGCATAGCTTCTACAGAAATCTAGGGTCACAAGAAGAAAAAAAGAGTGTTGATGGCAATCATATTCTTTATTCAGTACTTGTTGTGATATAGATGCTTAGTTGGTCTGCAGAATAGGATTTCATTTTATTTTGTTTTGAATTAAATGTAGTGCAGACTCAGTGAAAAAAGGGTTTTATTGCTGTGTTCATTAGTTTCAAATTTGGATTAAAGTTATTAAAATAAGCTGTATCTCAAGAGTAACATTTCTCCTGAAAACTTTTAAGAAAAAAACCCTGAAAATCTGTCAGTACAGAATTGGTGAAAATGAAGGAATTTGAAATTCTGTAGTGAGAAGGAAATATTTAACATAAAATAAAATGTTATCATTATTTTGATTGACTGCAAAATTTAGGTAATTATCAAACAAAAGGCATAGAATCATGGAATCATAGAATCATAGAAAGGGCTGGGTTGGAAGGGACCTCAAGGATCATCAAGTTCCATCCTCCCTGCTGCAGGCAGGGTTGCCAGCTACTAGATCAAGTACTGGATCTGTTTGCCCTGTGCCTCATCCAACTTGGCCTTAAACACTTCCAGGGATGGGACATCTACAACCTCTCTGGGCAGTCTGTTGCAGCACCTCACCACTCTCTCAGCAAAAACTTCCTTCTGACATCTAATCTAAATCTCCCTTCCTTTATCTTAAAGCTATTACCTCTTGTCCTATCATTATCTACCCATGTAAAAAGTTGATTTCCATCATGTTTATAAACTCCCTTTAAAAACTGGAAGGCCACAATGAGGTCTCCCGAGCAGCCTTCTCTTTTCCAGGCTGAACAGCACAGTTCCTTCAGCCTATTTTCATAGGAGGAGGTGTTCCCGTCCTTGGGTCATCTTTGTGAACCACTCTCTGGATCCTCTCCTCCTCATCTTCTCTGTGTTTGGGGCCCCAGACTTGGACTCAGTAATGCAGCTGGGGCCATACAAGGGCAGAGTAGAGAGGGACAATCACCTCCCTATCCCTGCTGGCCACCCTTCTTCTGATGCAGCCTAGGATACTCTTGGCCTTCTGGGCTGCAAGTACATACTGCTGGCTCAAGTTAAGCTTTTCATCAAACAAGACTCCTAAGTCCTTCTCAGCAGGACTACTCTCAAGGAGTTCTCCTGGTTTGCATACATATCTGAGACTAGCTCAATCCAAGCACAAAACCTTGCACTTTACTTTCTTGAACCACATTGGGTTCATAAGGGCCCACCTTTTGAATTTATCAAGGTCTCTCTTAATGACATCCCTTTCTTCTGCTGTAATAATCATACTGCTCAGCTTGGTGTCATCAGCAAACTTGCTGAGATTGCATAAGTGATCCAATCTCTGTAAGTTTTGTTTAATTGCTTAAAATTAGAAAAAAGAAAAAAAAACATTTTTAGTCACAGTCAATAATCATCAGAACACATTACTGAGAGTGCACTGCAATATGCAATCTTGAGAGCAAGATGGTGCATTTCTTTGAAAGGTATAGCTTAGGTAGAGAGAAATGGGAAAAACATACTGTGCTTCACTCTGGAGCAGATCCAATAGGGCAGTCAAAGCAAACTCTTCTAGGTTTAAATTTGGGGAAACTGTGAGTCACACTTTATTCCCCTCAAACGATAATTCTTGTATCTCATAGTTAGACACTCTTGTGTTATATTATTTCCATGGCAGAATAAAACTGAAAGTGTTGCATGACATGCACTAAACAGAATGTGTTAAGATGTCTGTCTTAGTTACCCAGAAAAAAATCTGGAGTAACTCAAGATTTTGGCTCATTGATTTTAGACTTTACACTTAGCAAAATGTAAAGGCAAGTGTAACTGAAGAAGTATCAAAGTCACTTGGAGTTAATCTGTTTTAGGTAAACTGATACAATGTTGTTAAGTCATGTTTATAAAAAAATACAAAGGGCTCAAGTGAATTAGTAGAGAAAGCTTCACAACATGCTTTTTATTTATTTATTTTTTTTAAGTTTTTTTTTTTTTTTTAAATGAGTCAGAAGAAGAGCTGTCCTTTCTAACAATTCTGTTGCTTCCAACCGCCTAGCTTAGTGCCTACTGACATGATGCAGAGATCTGGCAGAGCACAAATATTTTTTAAAGCTTACTCATTAACACTTCAGACCCATCCATCAGCATGATTGACATCAAGAGACAAAGAAATTATTTTTTATAGGACACAACATGTATGGAAGGCTTTCTGCAGGCTAATGCAGCACACCTGACAGATGTGTGAGTCATTTGACACAATGGGTGGTACTCATGCACATTCTATCACCTTGCAATCAACTCAGTATAGCACTCCTCCTTATTTTCTGAATCCATCTTTCCTCAAAGTAGAGAGTTTAGGAATAACTGCACATGAATCAATGAAAAATCTTTTATATACTCTGCCTCTGAGATGTTACTAATAATGTTGTTAATGACATTATTTGATATGGTGTTAGGAAAATAATAAACTTCCTGAACTGTGCCTAAGAGATATGCATCATGTGTTCCATGCCATGCACTTTGTATTGCACCAAATGAACCTGGTAAAGACTAATTGGCATTGGTGAGTAATATAAAAGTTCAATAAAGATGATTTGTCACCTTTTGCTTGTCTGCTCAATGTTGTCTCTAAAAGGTAATAGGCTTCAATACATTCTGCTGTATGCAAAAGTGAGAGTCGCAATGGATTTTAAAGTAATATTAACATTATGAGGAAAGAGAAACAATTAAAAGCTCCAAATAAAACATCTTCTGGTTGAGAAATTGGCCTATGAGAAACAGACGTTATAATGCGGAAACTTTTAAAAGTTTCAGTTTTCTTTTAAGTGATCTGAAAATCGTTTGCCAAATGTTTCAGAGGGCTCCTCTGCCTATCTATAGAAGCAAGGGTGGCTGTACTCTGTGGCTTGCCCTGTGAATTCACACTGCAAGCCAGACTGATCCACATTCATTCATCGTATGTGTCAAGCTCAGCTTCCCCTCTTCCATCATATGCTTTCTGGATTTCATCCACAGAGCTTGAATCTTATCTTGGGTCTTATTTTGATTCAAATAGAATCATAGAATGGCTTGGGTTGAAAGGGACCTCAAAAATCATCTGGTTCCAACCAACTCCCATGGGCAGGGTTGTTGACCACTGAATAATGCACTAGATCAGATTGCCTAGGGCTGTATCAAATCTGAGCTCAAATACTTCCAGGGATGGGGCAACTACAGCTTATTTGGGCAGGGTTGGGCTCACTCCATAGACACAGGCTCTGCTGGGGTCACCCACCCCTGTTAATGAGGGAAGTTATTTGTTTCCCACTGCAGAGCCCCACAGACACCAAGGTAAAGTCAAGATGGTCATATTTTGTGATGGGGAGTGGGGCTGGATGCTTTGCCATCCCTCAAAGAGAGAGTTTCTATAGGAAAAAGCTCTGAAACAACCCTCATTTGTAATGAGTAGTCAGAATTTATTTTGAAAGATTAAGCTCTTGTCTGCCATGGCTGATGAAACCCTGTCTGGACAATCAACATACGACTGCCTGGAACACTCATTTGTACTTGGAGCAATTAAGGAATGAGAATGAAGAATTTATCTGAAAGACTGAAGATCGGAGTACACTGCAAATTATTTAGCTATCAGTCTTGCAAAACACTGTATTTGTGACTGGTGTTGGCTGTGTTCTGTGAAGGTTCTCGAAGTGGAGTTGAGATGCTGATGAAGTCTTCAATCAGTTTGCAAAACTAGAAAGTATCTATGCAGGTGATATAACCCCCAAAGTCCAAGGAAGGTATGGAAATTAGGAATTAATGATATCTCTTGTCCATAGTAATCACAATGAAAAAGCATAAGTAGAATGGCATAAAAATGGCGTTTTGTTTAGCAGAGAATTCCAAGCGGAGTCAAAAGGGCAAAACAACACTGTAATAGAAACATAAAATTTAAAAAACAGCAGAGAAGATGGCAGACCACATCTATAGATACGGTAGCTGAAACCCCATTTGCTCTGTTGATCTCCTTTCTCCTCCTAAGTGTCTCAGTAGGTGCAAAATAATCCAGACAAGAATGAGTGGCAACTACATAAATATTTAAGATTTCTGAGCTGTTGAATTTCCAGTTCAATCATCTGTAATGCCTGGTAACTGCAGTAACTCTACAGACAAATCTGAGAAAATAATGGTACAAATAACTCTTAGTTCTTCATTTTGTAGCTGAGAATATTCAACATGAATATTCAAAACATATTCAATACGATGACAGGATAAGAACAAAGGAAACTTAGTCCCCAAGGAGTGTATGGAAACTGCTGAGTCATGGCCTGAACAACTGATTGAGCACCTGGAGAAAGGACCCAATCAGCCCTGGAAGCACAGGTGAAGGCAATTCATCTGTGTGATCTTAGACCTCATTTAAGGGCTAACTGCTCCCCTCTGGAGCTTTTTCTGTACGCCTAGACCTTCAGAGGTGGGTGAGTATTCTTTTTATAGCATCTTCTCATTGCTGCCAGTATAGGGAAAAATCAGTATGCAGTCGTTCCTGATAGCAACTCCAGAGGAATCAGGCCATACTGATTGTTTCTGGGTGGGGTGGGGAATGCCTTTGTACTTCAGAGTCTCTTGCTGGCTGGCATTTCAAATATATTAGTACATGGTTCCATGGTATCTTTTTTCCATGGAAACTCTAGTTATTGCTGTTCCCTTCTCAAAAATATAACTTATTCCACACAATTTTGCTTTCTCATCTGTATTTCCTTCTAGTACAATGCTGCTAATCGAGGGGTGGTGTCCTGTGTACTGAGAAGGACGATGGTAGTGGTGTTAGGAACACAGTGTTTCTTGGCTTCCTTCGAATCGCATCCATATCTTTTCAGTCAAAAGTTTCACAAAACTGTGGGATAACTTTTTTTTTTAGAGATTGATGTGTAGGAAAGAACAGAGTAAGAGGGATCAGCTGCAAGAGAGTTTGATTCAGTTAGAGGTGGAAAAGCTAGGCTTTGGACTTTTAGCAGTGAAATCAGGCCTTTAAAGCCTCATGTTGTTTTTGGCAGACATCCTCCTCCTCCCCATCTTATTTACACTCTCTGTTCACGTCGGCTTCTCTTTGCAGCCTGTTATTTGCAGAGCAGAGCTTTTTTGCACTTCCTTCTGCCAGCCTCCAGCTGATCATGAGCTATAGAACAGTCACCCAGAAACCTGTCACCACTGGAATGGTGCACAGGAACGGGGGATATAAGTTGGATGGCAAACCCTCTGCGACAGGCTGTGGAAGAGGCTGAGTCAGCCTCTTGCTCAAAAGGCCATTACAACATTCAGTTACTGATCTACTTGCCATGTGTGATTGCACATTGCTGTTAAAAAGGCATATTGGCCCTAATCCTGAAAAGCTTTCAGGCATGTATGCATTCAGTGAGATAAAGGACTATAGGGAGATGTCTACATTTCCTACAGGGGCATCATACTGTTAAAAACAATATATAGGTGCAGTGATCTAGAATTACTTTGTGAGATTAAAGTGTGGGCTAAAACATATGTACATATATGTGATCTGCCCATATATATAGTACATCTCTGCCTCTGAGTGACATTACCACTGGAATAATAAGGCCTAGAAATAACATAGTGAAAAATTTAGATTGCTATTTTTGAGTCTTTCATTTGTGAACTGCCAAGGAGTAGATTGTTATATCCTCAAATTTATCTTTGAAAATTATCTACAAATAACTTACTTGTGAAACTTGTTTGACAGGGTGCCTTGAGTGATCACCTCTCTACAGATTCACTGAGGCTGTGTGTTTGTTTGTCTTTAAACTACCAAGATTAGTCCTTTATCTTGGCTTGTAGCAGTTTGTCTTCTCAGCTCCAAAAATTGGGAGTTCACTCAGCACTGTTGCCCCTGTGTGAAAGTCTTATAAACATAAAAATTATTTTTCTGTATCTACCTGAGATATTGACATCAAATTTCATAGAATATCACACAAACCATGCTGCTTAATATGTAGCAAATTATAAGGGCAAAGATCAGGAATTCTAGACTCCTCACAGCCCAATAAGCATGTTAATTATGCTTGTGCCCCTCTTACAGTCATTACTGTCAGCATGAATCAAGACTGTCAGTGATAGACTTGCACAACTACAGGACCCAAATTATGTAAATATAAATGAATTACATGTTCCTGCCTACTGTGTGTGAATGTATTTATCTATATACACATACATAAATTTACTGGCAACAACATCTTTTAATTTACCATGTTATCAGTTTTTCAACTAATTCAAAACTCAAATAAAATATTTTCTTGGATCCTCTCTCTCTTTCCTCTCAGTTCAAACCACTTCACTGAAAAAGAGAGAATTCCAAGGCAGAAGTTTCCATGAGTAATTTTTTTTTTTTGAGTCTAATAAGTCTTAGTTGCTGACTGAGACAAAGCAGTGTTTTCTGGAGGAGAGGGACCAAAGGCTTTTGGACCAAAGGCTGGTTAGTTTTGCCTTGGCAGCAGCTGATAGAGTATGTTCATTACAGTCTGCTTTTTCTCCATTGCAAACATGCTATGGTACAGCTGATAGACTTTGCCTTCCCACTCTGAATCTAGTTTGTCTGTCTTGTTAGAAGTTATGTATCTCTCAGCAGAAGGGCTGAGATATTACACTGGGCTCTATGGTTTGTCCTGGCTCAATTGTGTCTATTCTGTTTGCATGTGAGTGAGTAGCACTCTAAACCAGATTCAGTGGGGGGAACACAAATCTTCTGAACTCACAAACTACAAAGAAGCCTGAGGTGACAGAATTAGCACAGACTGCACCTTGAAGATCATGTGGTGTGTTGAAACATCCTCCAGTCCACATAGAAGGTGGCCACTGCCTAATTCTCAGGCTATGATTCTTCTCTTAGCTGCAGACCCACATGTCTGCACTGATCCATTACAAAATCATAGTCACAATGGGTTAACTGCTACTTGCATTTAATTCTACTCTTAGCTAATTGGTTTGAGTATTTAAAAACAAAAAAATCTCATCTGTTTTATTTTAGAAATAGAAATTACCATTTGACATTACATTATTTGTAGTTTGAAAATTAAAATACGCATTGCTTGATTTAAAAACTACAAGTATATTTTTCATGTTTAGAAATTTCTTTATTGTAGTGAAATTCTTTTTCTCTAACACAGAAAAGATGCACAGAAAACTGACTTAAGGAAGATGTTGGTTGCAAACAGGCTGTGTTGTATAATAAGAGTATCTCATCACCAGAGACAAAGGAGACTTTCCGAACATCCCAGACTGTTTTTCCTCTATACATGTTTTATAGCTTGACATATGTTGGTTTCACACATGTAAGAATAAACAGCTTGCATTTTCTTAGATCAGAACAGCAATATATATTCATAAAACTACAAAGTACCTAAAAATAAATAAGGAAAAATTGAATGGGGAAAGGAAAATCAGTGATGGAGAGAAAAAATCCCACAAACCTTAGAATCATACACATATATATAAACATATTCTTAGCACTTCAGGTTTCACAAAGAGGTTTTTCAGGGCAGCTTAATGAATTGAAAAGCTCTTGGAACACTCAAATTCAGTTCTCGGAAGCATTTCCTCCAGGAGCTGCGCCCCCGGGAGCGGTGACCCTGCCCTGCTCGGCCCTGCGGAGCTGTACACGCTCGCGGTGTCGCTGCAGTTTGCATTGCGGCCACGAGATGGAGCCACGAGCCCTTGTACCGCGCCGCGCACCTGCGCCGCGCACCGGCCCGGGGAGCTCTCGCTGCCCTTCCTATTCCGCGATTGCAAAATTCAGGGCAGAAAAAAGACAAAAAATACAGTTGTTGGTTGAATGATATTTTGCTACTATATAGCTCAGACGCTGTACGGACCATGCCAACAGGTACCCGGAGAAGAGGGGGGCAGAAGGAGCCGGGCTTAACGCGGGGGGAGCTGCCGCGGAGGGGAAGAGAGGGGCGCGGAGCTGAGTGCCGCAGTGCCGCCGTCGGAGGGGCTGCAGGTGCGTGCACCTCCACGGAACTGAGACAGCTTTGCTTCTGTTGGTCCTTTCTGGGATAAGTGCAAACCGTTCAATTTCAAAGGTTTCTCTCAATTTAGCCCTGCTCAAATCTGAAGTGGGTGTTTTCGTCAGAGGATGGCTGCCTGTGTGAACGAGGCTGGCAGTGAGAGTGATGCCCCCAGGCCTGGTGGTTTAGCTGGAGCAGCTGGCAGTGTGTGGTTGGTCTCTGTGCTATATCACGTTCTATAAACTCATGGAAATGAGTCCTTGGTGATGATGGCAATCAATAGAGGTGAAACTTCAGAGTCCAGTTCGTGACTTAAATGTTCCTGTATCAAGAAAGCTCACCATCAGGGATATTTCCTCATCTTGTGCCCTCACATTGATCTCTTGCCTGCGTGGTCTGTCTCAGCATGCACACAGCTCGGAGTATGGGTCGTCTGCATAATAATACATCTGCACAGTATGTGTAAAATGCATGGCACACTTACTTGCTTTTACATCATAAAGCATGCATATTAGTGATAAGTATGTTCAATAGGCAAAACTAGATTAAAATTAAAATTACTAGTTTTATGTGTTGGGCTCAATAGTGGACTCTAATTGTGTTCTTTGAATGTGAAACTTGAGGAATGTGAATTTAGCAAAGGATTTCAGATGGCAGTTTCAGATTTGTTTTATATGGCAAGCTGTCTGAACAAACTCTGGAAACTGGACAAATGCTTATGTAATGCTTCAGGACCTGGTGTCAGAGATGGAAATGTCATTTTGCGTGGTTTATATACACAGTAGTACCTGGAAATGTGGTGTACCTTGTGATGACTGCTTGAGGATGAATGTTGGCAAAAGTATTGTGAGGACCCCTTCCGTATCCCATTTTTCTAGAAGTTCTTGGCTTTTTTTAGGAGATGTAACTTCTCAAAATGAGATTAAGGTAATTCTCTGTGGAGCTGCTTGGAAGATTAAAGTGATGCCTATTACTGTATGAGCATTTGTACTAGATTAAGGGAAATATGGCAGAGACATTTTGTTCTTTTCTACTTAAGCAAGACATGAGAACTTTGAGAAATAACGCTTGAAAAAAGGCATTTCCCTCCTAGTCTCTTTTTCTCAGGGGATCATTCCTTTGGCATCCAGCCAATTCATTTCCTTTAGAGCCAAATCGTTTATTCTGAATAAACATTTTTGTCCTGTATGTATATGTATACTCCTACATATCCACACATGCAATTTTTACAATCTAGAAAAGAAGCTAAAGAACTTATGCAAACATCTGAGAGTGGGAGGCATTGATTATTAAATGAAGCAATTGAGTCCAGAGTACAAGTAATTGTGTAGAAACATCCATTTTTATAAGAGTTGGATGACACACTGAGCTTGGCTCATGAAAAACATTCTAAAGTCATTTATTTTCTCTCTTTAAAAGATGAATACTTGTTTCAAAGTTCTGCTGGTAGTAGGAGGTCTGTTCTACCCTGGATCCACCACTGATGAGGAGATTGACTGTTGGTTGTTGCTCAGCCAGCAACAGAATAGAAGAGACTTGGTGGAAGTGGGCTTGCTTCAGAGATTTACAGAAGTCAGATTTTTTTTTTTTATATGCTTCTTTATGAGTGCATATATATTATAGTATTTGGAAGCAGTGAACAATTTTACAGGGAAGACTTTAATCAATGATGTGCCACCTCAAGAAAATGTTTTTTTTGTTTCATTTTTATAATAATCTCTGTATTTGCTGGAACAAGATTTCAGCCATCTTAAATTCCCAGGAATCAATCTGAGTTTAGGCCCTATCCTTGTGTATAGGCTTCTGCCTTGGAATACAAGCTGGAAGCTGGGGGGAGGGGGGTGGTGGTGGTGGTAGTCTTTCCCTGATATTGCTGTAGGGTCAGCCTCAGTCCCCAGTTTCCTTCTTTACAAATGGCCTTCAAGCTGCCCTCCAGCAGCAGATGAATTCTGCTGGAACATGCTTTTTGTGTTTGAGCACTGGAATTCTGAACCAAAACTAAGAAAGCCTAGGCACCCCCTGGGAAGGCTTAATCTGTTAATAACATTACTTCAGACCTCAATAGTGAAGATCAAGCCTTTTTTTTGTGTGTGTGTATTACAACTTACATTTTATTTGTTTATAATCATTATTTTTCTTAGATTTAATATGAAAATCATTGCTTAAAAAAAAAAAAAGAAAGAAAGAAAAGCCTTCTGTTGTTTTTTTGACTACTAATTTTAAGCAGCACTTCAGTGTCTGACAAGGGGATTGCTTTATGTTAATTATTTTTTGATGTGAGCATAATCATGTACAAAATTTGCTTTCATGCACAGTCTTCCATGTGAGTTTGTTTTTGAAATCTGAACCTTAGCAGGGAACAAAATAAATCATTACAATCTTCAGAGTTATTATAATCTGATTGTCATAGAACAAAATATCTTGTCATCTTCCCCTATGTGGCTCTTCCATGTAAGTGTTGCTTTGCATCATTTATTCTGTTATACTTCATTGATTATGTTGCTTCAAAATTGTTATTTATCCAGCCTCACAGCCATTTGAACAAGAAAAGGTAAATATTGTGGGCTAAGCTCTATTTTAGATTCTTATAAACAAAGTCCTTAAAGCTGTAATTCTAAACTCAAGCATTTGGTTACACTGATGACCTCTGGAACAAAATAGATCTGGTTTCTGAATCAAGGAAGAGGAATAAAGTTGAATTTAAAAAATGTATCCACCATAAGCTTCAGTTCTGACTACCCAGATCTGGAGGAAACTTAGTGAACTGAATTTGTTCTCTCTGTTGGATTAGTTTTGACACATATCCAAAGAGATATTTAGCCAATAGTTGGAGATTATACACATCTGTCAGCTAAATCAAAGATTCAAAGGCTAAATCTACCATTTGGAGAAACATGTAGATCCATCTAGATGCTAGATAAACAGTTTTTTTACAAATGCTTAAACTGTACATAATTGTTCTTCTAGTGGTAGCTTTCAGAAAATTATTATTAGAAGGATGGAAGAAATGTTTTATGCAGTGATCTTAAAATTGCATTACAGGGTTTTTAAGTAATTTGTGCCATGACCATCTCTTTTGAGATTATATAGGAAAAAGACATTTTACAAGAAAAGAAAGTCATTGATTTAAAAAAAAAAATAAAATAGTGGACACCTCCATTCTTTTGTAAATTCAATGCAGGTCATAATGCTTAGCTTTACTGCATTGTTATTCTTTGTGTATTTTCTCATTTCAAATCTGTTAAGAGCTGACAGGAGAAGCAAGAGCTGTACCTGTGTGTGTTATTTAGACAGTATGTGAGCGCGCGCGCGCGCACACACACATCTATATGCACTTGCCTGTATGTATGTGTATATGTATTTAAGTAGACGCTTTTCAGTTCAGTAATATAAAATACAACAGAGGAATTGTAAACCTACAGGTAATTTACAGCTATTGTAATTCTGGTTAATACATTCTGGAACAGTTTTTTTCTGGCTCAGATGGCAACATCATAACTTCAGCTCTCATTCCGAACCATTGCTGGCTGTTCTTGGGTGTGGGAAGAGGTGATAATTAGGCAAAACTAGCTGTTCACAACATCTTCTTGGAGCTTTGTTGTTATTGATGATAAAAATGGCTTTGGAATAAATTGAAGGTTTTCATTGCAAAATGCTTGTTTTTGTCAGGGCATTTTTTAAAGTAATCTGTACACACAATTTTGTAATTGATGTTTTCAGTACCATATACAAAGGTTACTCCAAAAGTAATGCCTCCTATTTTGGCATCTATTGACATTCGTCAGTACTTGCTGAATGTTTATGGGACCAAACAGTGAGTGTGAGTGCAGTGAGGTGATAGATGGTGTATTTTGTAGTGGCAAGAGTGGGTCACCTCTGCTTGTGTGGGGAGCTGACAACTTTAAGCTGAGTAATAAATATTAGGCACATCTTGCTATGAGTGCAAGCAGGCATTTGTCTTTGCAGCATGTGTAATTCATTCTGACCTTTCCAGAACAGGGGAACAAGGCTAGTGAAGGTATTGGAGCAAAAATTTTATGAGAAGGGGATGAGGTAACTGGGATTGTTTAGACTGGAGAAGAGGAGATTCAGGGGAGATGTTATTGCCTTCTCCATCTACCTGAAAGGAGGTTGTGATGAGGTGGGGGTTGGCTTCTCCTCCCACATAAGTAGTGATAGAACAAAAGGGAATGGCCTCAATTTGCAAAAGATAATGTTCAATTTGGGTATTAGGAAAAACTTATTCTGGTAGGTGGACAGTTGAACTAGAGAATCTTAAAAAGGTCTTTTCAACCTTAATGATTTTATGATTCTGTGACTTCCCATGCTTCCAAAATCAATTACAACTAGTAGAACTCTGCTACTTCTGTTTTTTAGTTTTATTTAGAATGGGGTAAGGATCTGTTATACAGGAGAGGGTACAAACACATAGGAATACCAAAAAGGATTATAGGTGGAATGATTAGAATGGTGGATTTATCTTGTCAAATGTTGGAAATGTTGTCAAATACACTGTTGTGATTACTTCTACTTCAGTAGATCCCTCTTGCCCACCATATTTGCTCTTAATTTCCCAAATCTTATCAGCTCCTCAGTGACTTTGCAGCATCCTTCCCTGTCACTTTGCCTGACAAATTAATTGGTGGCTGTTAGTGTGTGTTTTAAGGTAAACCTATCCTCTATGTTCTCATTGATCTCATGTTGGAAGGAGAAAGGAGAATAGTTCTGAAAGGTTTTGGGTCTGGGAACATCAGGAATACCAGCTAATACTTTTCCAAATGCTTTTGTAATAGTGTGAAAATGTGCAAAAGGTCTTATTTACAGCTAACATAGACAAAAGGATTTGAAAATGAAAAGCAACTCCACCATACTCACTATTAATTCTTGTTTTTGGACATTCAGCTTTGCATTTGACTGTGTCCTTAGCGTCTACATTCTGTTTGTGTAATCCAGGTGCTTATGACCCTGTTTTTCAAGGCTTTTGAACTCTCTGTGTAAAAATATCAAACTTCAAAGTGCTTGTTGTTATCAATATTTCCATAAAGGCTGAAGATTTATAGGAGTATAACTGATTTTCCACACCAGCTAGCAATTGAAATGTTTTATGATGTTTTCCACACAGATTTTTCCCTGTCCCATTTTACCTGTGTTTTTCTGTTTCAGTTCACTCAGTGGCTCAAGCTTCCTGTTTTTGCTGGCCTCCTCACTCAAGTCTACCTTGAGTCCTTCCCTCTGGTAAGCTTCTGTGAAATTCCTTTCATAGCCTGTCGCTGCCCTGGCAGTGTGACCAGCTGCCATTTGCTCTCATTGATGTTGCTTCTTTAATTGGTCAAGCATTCTGCATGCTCCCTTTAGAGCTGCTGCAGGTTGGTTTTGGTGGGTGCAGTGAGTGGGATGAAATTGCCAACATCTCTGGAGGCAAAGACCATTTTATCTGAGCAGCAGCTTCTGTTTCTAAACCCACAGGATATGTATAAGTAGGATTTTTCCATCATGTCAATAGGGTTTTTCCATTCTTAGCCTGTGCAATTCTGATGTTTCTTTGTAAGTGTTAGAGCTGGACTGATTCTGCATGCTGATGTATCAGTCTCTCAAATTTTCACTAATATGCAACCCACTTTTGCTGGTTCTGTGCTGGGTTTGTCAGCTGGCTGGCTTTGATTTAGGCAGTTCAAGTTCTAGGGAATTTTCATGCATGCAGCTTAAAGTGCGGCAGGATTCCTTTACAAGCAAGATACTTTGTTGTGAAGCTCTCTATATCAAAGCAGCTCTTGGGTCTCTCACTGTAGACCTAAAATAATTTGCAGTGTGCAAAGGGTATTCCTGTGCACATGTATGTCTTGCAATCTGCAAGAAAGAATGCTGCAAATGAACTATTCAATGATTTTTTTTTCTTTAAAAAAGATGTTATAACTATGCTGGAGTGATTAGAAATATTGTATCCTGAAAGCTAAACTTAGAACTTTTAATACTGCAGCATGTTTCCCAGGAATCCAGCATTCTCTGATTCTATGTAGCTTCTTCATTCTGTTATTTATAAGACACACTCATTTGCAGTAACATGCAATACTTCACCTATAATTTGGAAGGGCAACAAAATTTGCTTATGTGGCCAGTACTGAGCTGGTAATATTGTGGTTGCATTTTTTTCCCCTCCCCAAATTATTATTTGAAAAAATTAGAACTTAATGTCCGGAATCAGTTTCAATGAATTTCCCAACAGAAGGAGTTATTAGAAAAACAAATGCCTTTAAATAGTTAAAATACATGCTGACATTTCTAAAGTTAGAAAATTGTAGTGTTTTTTATTAAACTTTTTTTTTTTTTTTTTTTTTTTTTAGGGGATTTAGGTAAAACAGATTAAAAGAGAAAATTTAACTAAAATACAATGATTTTTACCTGGAAAATACTATTTATGTGCATTGATAATCAGTTCAAGCAAACACTGAAGTTTTTATTGGCATTCTATTCATGCCAGTCACCAAAATGTTCACAGAGATTCTGTCTCTACTATTCGTCTATACAAACATTTCACTGCAGTGCTCGCAGACTGATACGTCAGCCCTCCTGCTCATAGCAGACAAGGTTCACTGGTACCCGTGTTTGGCATGGTGGTCTTTTTGTGCTCCCTTCTACGGTGGTTGCATGGTAGCATGAAAATTTTGCTAAAAATATTTCACATAGACAGGATATGGCAGTCAGAGTTATTCAGACAATATGCAGATTGAGCTCTTGGCCTCTTCAGTGAAACTGCTAGCAGAGTGTTAGTTGATGGAGTTTGCTCTGGTGCATTGTGAGAAGTTGATCTGTACTAATGGACAAACGGGACTGTGGCCAAATGTAGAATGCATGGGAGCTGGCAGAAGTCCTTGGTCACTAACCAATATTAAGTAGTTTCAGACTAGTTCTGAGTTCATTACTAACCTGCTTGATCATGTTTCTTGCTTTCTGAAAGTTTCAGACCAAAGAGCAGCTCAGCATAAGAGCAGTGTCTTTTCATTAGATCTGTTTGATTTATCGGCTGCCTTTGGAACTGTCAGCCAAAGCCATGGCCTTGAGCACCTGTCAGGCCTCTTGGGCTTGCTCAGGACCTGAGATGTGAATGTTTACTTTCCCTAAGCAGTACTGGCTGCTCTTAGCAGTCCTCTGACCTTATTTAAGTTTTCTCTTAGTCCTCTGGAAAGTTTCTAGATTTTCAGATGTGGTTAGACTGCAGTATTTCCAGTGAATTGATAGTGATTAAACAGAGGATATACAATCTTACCCTTTTCTGCTTGCTTAAGACTCTGTTCTTGTGTACAAATGCTTGTCCTCTTCATTTCAGCATTCCTCTAAACAGATTTTGTGTTTATTTGCTCTCCCATTTCTCATTGTGAAGAACTTTTGAGGAAAACCTCAGTATTTTTTAGTGTATGTGATTAAAATTCTCAAGCTGTTTTCCTATCAGCTGTTATCTCTGCAGCAAGGATTAATAGGAAAATAGAAATTTGTTACCAACTCAGAATGTCACTCAGAAGAAGGAGTTTTGAACTTGTGATCGGCATCAGACCCCAGCTTCCTGCAAGCGATGTGGGAGCTGCTGCTGCTACACATATTGTGCTGCTGCATGAGTGGGAGGAGATGAAACTTCTGCCATTTCTATGGCATCACTCAGCAAGGTGTAAATGAAGTATGAAATAAAAACTCTCAGCCCACTCAGTGCACAGACAGAAAGAAGACAGTGCTTTATACTTGCTGCTGTGATGAGCTATTTGCTGTAATATTAACCTTACGTAGTACCAGAATGTTTCCTAAGTTTTCTTCTGACTCGAGATTAAAAAATGATTTCTTGTAGGTTTCCTCCTTTTTCTCTCTTTCCACCAGCGCACTACTGCATGTCAAAGCTGGTGATGCCGTGCAGAGCAGGAATGAGGTAAAAAGCCTGACAAGGAGATCCTTTTCTTGAAGAAATTCTAACTGAATCAGTAGGCACAGTTTGCAGTGAACTGCAGGGTAAAATGATAAAACACCACACACTGGATGCAGCTCCAGGTATAAAAACATTTGTTGTTTTCATTTTACTGAGCTCAGACAGGTGATTTGGAGGGAAGGAGCCATAGGTGGTAATGTATCTATGCTGTTTAAGTTCATTAGCATCAAGGAGTCTGTGTTGCTAGGTAGCTTATTTGGTATAGTAGCAATCTTTGGATGGAAATGCTTTTCAGCTCTGGATTTGCCCCTAGGTCTTGCCCTCTTAGCTTAACAAATTGCTGCCTAGAACTTTGTGAGATCCCATTCATTGTTTTTAAGCTATAAACAAGTGTGTGACAGCCTTTTTATTTTGCTGAAAGTGTTGAGTTTCTGGAGCCTCTGAGCTATATTCTAAGCTGGTGTAAATAATGTAACTTCACTGATGTCAATAAAATGGAGCCAGTTTATACCAGCTGAAACTCAGTCTCTTCAGAGGCAAGTCAGCCCCTAATCTCTGTGCCATTCACACAGAGGCATATATTTCTCTGTGTTTTTTTTTAATCCTCATGTGTCCTTTGTAGAACTAAGCGATCTGTGCTGCAGACAGTGTTGAGAGAGAGAGAAAGAAATGAGGTGGATGCTGATTTGAAATGCTGGACCCTCCCTTGTTCTGCTGAAAACTTCTGTGTGGCAGTATTGTTATTTCTCTGTATTCTACTCTTTTCTTTATATTCCCATCGTAAAAAAAAAAAAACAAAAAACAAAAAACAAAACAAAACAAAAAAAACACCAAAACGATGGGGACAAAGCCAACAAACACTGAAGTATACACTGCAGTAATGGGACCTGCAGTGTAGGTTGGTAGGTAACATCTCAAAGCCTACTGGTAGTGGGGGGGCATTCAGTACCACCACTATAGGAGAAGCACAGACAGAAACAGCTACTGGGCGGTGACCAGAACCTGTGTGGTTCCTGGGCTGCTGTACAAAAGGAAAGGTCATATAGGAAGGGACACATGGGCTTGGATTTGTGTGCAGATTGGGGTCCCTGCTGATTACACTGACTACCACAATGGTGTGGACTCATACCAGTGATGAGCTTTCTGCTGGACTGTGCAGGAGGTAAAGAGATGCGCTTCACCTTGCACTGTATTCAGAGTGAATCAGTCTATAGATCAGAGATCTTTAGAAAGGCAGGATAAATTCTGGTATGAGAGGTTTATATAAATGCCATCCTGATTAAAGAAGGGAGCATAAAGCTAAGAAATTACATCTGCTCCATCCTGCAGTGCTTGCCGGTGATAACGTGTCTATAGGGATGGCTTTGTGATAAGAAATGAAAACAGCAAGATTCAAAGAAAGTGAGACACCTTTGTAATGGCCTGAAGGAAATTGGGTCATTAAAACAGTCTTCAACTTTTCTTAGGGGTATGGAGAGGACCAGAATAGTGCTCATGCAGTGTTTGTATTAAGTCTTAAGAAGGCCAATCACCCTTTTGGTACACAGAAGTGAATGTCATCCACCTGGAAAAAAGTCTGCAACACAATTGAATGAGCAGAAGATTGGAGGGACATTTGGAAACAAGGCAGCAGAGGACTTGGGCTGGTTGGTGGAGTTGTACATGTTCCCTAATGCAATTTATTACTTAATTTTTTGGGCAATTGTTGGAGAGTGTATTTTCTTTATTTCTGCCCTTTGATAAATTCCAAATAGAAGAAAGTTTCCTCATTGTTACAAATTGAGAGAGTGGTGAAAATAAGACATGCACTGCTGCAAATGAAAGTCAGACACAGGAGCAGTGCGTTAGGTGGGTTGAAAAAAAAAAAATCTGTCTGATCAGAGATTAGGTGCCACAATAAAAATTGCTTCCTCTAGAATAAAAATGTCTGTGAAAGCATATTTTAAAGATACCTCAGGTGGGATGAATATAGAGCAGGACTTAGATTTGTTGTGTCTGTATCTGTTTGATCACAAAGATAGTGCACTGAAATATGCAAGTCCTGGTCAGATGTGCATTATGAAATAATGCTACATTGCTCTTGTAAGCAAGTTCTAAAACCATATATATTTTGCATAAGAATGAGCTCATGATGATTTTACTCTTTATTTATGGATTCTAATTGCTAACTTAAAAAAGCAAGATTTATATATTCACAATGAATTTATAGCTGACTATTTTACTTCAGAATTGTCTGTGAAATTATTACATAGAAATTAAATTCTAAGTATACTTTTTTGTTAGAAAAACAGCGTTCTGATTTCTTCTAGAGAAGAGTGGATAACAAGCAGAAATTGGTAGAAACCTTTTAAAAATGTATTTTATAATATTTATTGTTATTTTTATAGTATATAAAAAATTACATATATATGTGTTTTTTTTGAGGAAACAAAGCAGGTGGTAGGAACAAAATTGAACACAGAAGATTCTGGATCATTTAAGCAGTGCACTGCCAGGTAGCAAATGCAGCTTAATGTAGAAAAATGTTAAACAATTCATCTGGGAGGAAGGAATCAGTCTGAGGAATATGTACCAAATACGCAGCCATCCAGCATACTAATTAGGAAAGAGATGGTATAGTGATGGAGTGAAAACTGAAAACACAAATTCCAGTGCACTGCATTAAGAATTTTGAACGATATATTAGGAAGAGAAGGCAGCACAGCCATAAAGGAGTATGGATTGAAATTTCCTTTAGAACAGGATTATAGATTTTTCACATATTTTTTCCTCAGAAGTTGAAAAATAAGGATGATAATTGCTCACAGCATTTTTTTTTTAATTTTGAAACATTCCCTTTAACTTTTGTAAGGAGACAACCGCTTCTAGAGAGTATGTTCTCCTCAGATACTGCTTTGCTTAGAAAACAAACAGCAAGCCAGAAATTCTGGGTTGTGGAGGTACCCGTCTGCACACAAGATGCAGGTATCGATGGTATCTATGAAACTGCAGTGTGATGCCGAGTGCTGTGCTGAGTTGCTAACTGCTGCACATCTGAATTAATGAGCAGAGTGATTTCTGCTTTTTGATTCTTGCAGCCTGCCCTGCAGCTCCTCTGCAGAGAGCAGTGCTGAGCAGGAGGGCGGCTGGGTGGTGGGGCTGTGTGATCTGCTTGCAGGAACCTTGGAGTCGGGGGCTGCTCCTGCATACAGTGTTTTTCCAGACCCAGCTAGTTACTGCTAATGCTGCAGAGAAAAGTGCTGCTGTGTGTGTATAGCCATTCACATGTTCTCCCTTGTTCAGATTCTTTTCAAGCTAAATATATTTTTTATTGTGATTCCAGTGTAGCCACCTCTATGTACGAGGCTCTGTATTCTATTTAAATGCTTCTGTGCTGTCTCAAGACTTTTCTACTGTTCTAGAGAACTGACAGCTAGAAAAGCACAGTGCACAAGTATAGTATATCCGTGTGAGGCTCTGTGAGACTGCAGGGAGAGAAGCAGGTCGCTGCACCCTTCTCAGCTTCTGCCTGGTCTCTGAGAAATGCCCTGAGGCTCACTGCTGTGGGTGACTTCGGTGTTGCTGTGCTTTCTGCCTGACCAGCAAGAAGCCCTGTGTGAAGCTGGTAGGATGGAGTGCGTGCCTGTGTTGGCTGCGGCTGTTCGCAGTGCGGTTTTTGCACTGTCCTCATTTACATGGGCAATTTAATCTCTGAGGCAGGGAGCAGGAATCCTCGCCTTTGTCAGCATTGTGTGAAAGACACTGTGCCCAACTGAAGAGTTAGCTGAGCCGTTGTGAGCGGGGGTATCTCACACTGGAGTGTGATGGACGCTATGAGGGTTTGTATGCATCATTGCCTGAGGATGAGAACACTGCAGCCCAGAGTGATCATGCTGCAGTGCACAGGGCACCAGCTGCCTAAAGCTCTGCAGTGGGGAGAAATACTGGGGGGGTGCAGAAATGTGCGAAGAGTCTGTGTTCTGCTGTATGTCCAAAGGCTGCCTGTGTAGTGCTGCTCCCCAGCACTTACAGCTGTCTGATACAAGCCCACTGTCCTCCCACTCAGAATCACATTTTGGAGGACTGTATGATGTCCACGCATGTGTCAGAATCTCTACAGTGTTATTCCACTGTCATGTATCCTCAACTTTTAAATAACAGAACTTTGCCACCTACCATCTAATGTACCAAGACACAGCTAGACAAAAAAGATAACCAAACAGTCTTGCTTCATTTCCAAATAAATGTTTTTTAATGCTAATCTGTGCTTTCAGCATGCCTATTGAATGAACTGAAGAAAAATATTATTTTCTTCAAATAAAGCCACTGCAGAGATCCTCACTGAAATCCCCTTTGTCTGACTTAAGGTATGGGCCAGTGACCAGCAGATGGCAATCTGTGCCTGTCACAGAATGCAGGGCTTTAATGCAGGAGCTCTTGTGTACAACTTCCCTTGCTTGTTACAGTTTACTTGAAGGGCAAAAAGACCTGGAAATCGTGGGAAGCCTTTGTTAGGCTCAGAATGTCAGAATCTGGAAAAGCACAGCTGAAATTCTGCGTTATACAAATATCAGCTAGCAGGGTCTGTGAGAAGCAAGCTAAACTAATGGCATGAATTTGCACTACTCTTTTTCATTTTTAAGCACAGGACAGATAATTATTTTACGTCATTGTTGTGATTTTGCTTCTGTGTGTTGTTAATCTTTTAATGCACTCTTTAGGAAAAAAGAAAGCGTCTGTTTTCCCTGCACCCCACGTTTTTTCCCCTAGTACTTAAAATGGAATGCAATAATGTGTTCTTCAGCTGACTTAAAAAGAAGTCAAGATGCACAAAAAATCATTTTTCCTGCTATAGTAACAAATCTGCCGTGCTAGAGTAATGTGTCCAAGCAACACAGAGAGAGTCTAGTTTAGCATTTGAATTGGAATACAGATGGCATTAAGGCTATTGCTTAGCAATTTTGATACACGTTTTTTTTATTGCAGAAGGGAAGATTAATGCTACTAATTTCACTTATGTGAAAACTGTGAGCTGATAAAGGACCTGGATGCTTTTTAAAGCAAATATTAATAGCAGAAAGAGGAATATTCCTATGCTGTGGTGGAAATAATTGTGTAAGTAATCTCACATACTGCTTTAAATGAGTTTGCATCATTTTTGTGCAGTATCATACTGCAGGCATTTGATCATCTGTAACTTCATGATGGAATGATGAAAAAGAAGGCTGAATTAATATCCTGGATATGCTGACACTGTTAACAATATAAGGTTTTTGCTGGGAACATAAGATTTTCTGGACTACTGTTAAATATAATTCTTGCACTGCTGTCCATCTGGTAGCCTCTAATAGTGTACTGCAGTCCTGATGCACTCTATATGCTGGATGCCAACTGAGTAGCATAGACATACTTTTTTTACTAGCATTCATTAAGGAGAGAAATTAAATGTAAAGCGGTTCAGTGCTTTGTGCTACAGGACAAAATAATGGAGAAACTACTGTGCTAGCTATGCAAAATCTGAGTGTTTGGGAGATAACTAGTGCTTTCAGTGTGGAGCAGTAGACCCGGAGGTTCATGTCAGCATGCAGTTCAAGGTGGCTAAAGTAAGGGGACATGGCTTAATGTGAGTACTGAGGCCAATACAGGTTCTTGCACTTTGTTTTATCCTATTGAAATACTGTTTATCTGATGACAAGGATGGTGGTATTAACTGTAAAAGGTAGCATGGAAAGGTTTTATGGAAAAGCTTGGCTACAGGCACTACAGAACGTATAGCCAGCATACAGGTACTCCTCCATTTTACAGTCCACTTTTCTTTATATAAGAAAACAAAAGGGGGAGGAATCCAAGTGGTGCCCATAGCAACAGTATGCTTTGAGCGAATGGTAAGCGATGGAAATTCCATAGCAGAAGAAAAGAACACTTATATTTGGTGAGATTAAATGAGAAAGGATGAGCATGTCTTGTAGGTAGAAGGGACTGATTTATAAGGAAATATTAGAAGAAAAAAAAAAGTTTCTAACTGGTAACTTCAAGTGGTAGAGTGCACGCAAATATATTTTGGGAAATTGAGGCTCAATTACAAGTACAACAGAAATTGCTGGAATTGGTTTTCATGACAGAAAGGAACTATCTTTTGCAACTATATTATATAAGGAAAGCTTAGATTAAAATCTCCTTTGCTGCAAAAAACATTTGTGTTGTAAAACAACTTCGAAAGCAAATAATGCACTTTCACTGCTTGCAACAGATAAAAGTTCATTAAATAATAGAAAGAGGGAATATATAAGCATATTCCATCTCTAGTATGGGTGGTTAAAAGACAAAAACAACAACAGCAAATGATTGTATGAATGCTTTATGAAATTTTTTGTTGTTGTTCAGAGTGGGTTGAATGTGTATTTAAACTATAGTGGCAGAGGGACAGAGGTGTTTTCAGGGCCTACAGTCGAAGCCTGTTCAGGTGCCTACATAGTACCTTAGTTGTGTACATTCTTGGTGGAAGACAGGGTACATCTTGTGGGTGATGTGGCTAAGTACCCAGGTATGGTATACCTATGTTTAACTGCAGTGTTCTCAATCACCCTCTAGAACTTGTACTCCTTTGAGACCTAAGTTATAAATAGCACTTCATTGTTTCTGAAATCATACACGTGCATTTGAACTTGTCTCCCAAGGCAGTCACAGGCTCTTATTTTATTTGTAATCAGTAAGCAAGACTAAATTAATAATTCTCTTTTTCTGCAGCTGTTGGGGTGATTTTGCACCATGCTGTGTTTACACAAATGACTACAATAGGTGCAAAGATTACAAAGAAAATCTACAAAAAAAAAAAAAAAGAACAAAAAGCCACAAATGTTTGACTTATTTTCTTCTAAAATTGTGAATCTTTTTAAGATAGTGATTTGTGTACTTTTTTTCATCTCTATTTAGCAGGGACAGAGAGCTCCAGGGCTCCCATACTGGTCTCAGTGCTGACTCTGGACTTTACAGCTGCAAGGGTTTCCATCAGCTGCCCTTGTTTCTGGGTTTTTGAAATGCTACCAAAATGAAGCTTCTCTTTTCTGACAAAGAGCTTGGGATGGCACTGCATATCTCTCTGGTATGCTAATCACTTTTGGATTTCAACACACAGTGATAAGAATTTGCCCAGCAGGATAAAAGTAGTCCATGGATTGTTTCATTCCATCAGCCCTGTCATGCATGCTGTGACATAAATGTTACCAGAGCACTTTTGTGGGGATTTTCTTTGCTAGAACATTTGGTCCAGAACAAAGTACTTCCAACCACATTATCACTGACATTTGTGGAAGAATTCTCAGAACTGCAGTTTGTCATGTTTTGATATCAAAACGTATTATGGGATTTCCATTCAGTTACTGATATTTTGGTACAACAAAATAAGCTAATCTGGTTAGGAGTCATTGTGTTACTGCCAAATTTACTAAAGCTTAAATATCCACTGAAAGGAGAATGAAAAGATTTTAATGAAGTATATAGAGAGGAAAATATCTATCACCCAACTTCATTTTGCCTGGATTTTAAAATTTGTCTGTAGTTTGTGTTTATGCAGGAAGAAGTTATTCTGAATTTCTACTCCCTTACCCACAGAGACCTAATGTAATCAACGGCACTCTGAAAACCAAACACATCATCCTCAAAGAAAAGAGTCATATCTGTAGGCTTGCTAACATGCTTTCACCTCTTGTTCCTTCTTTGTTGGTCTGCAGGTCAATGTTGCATCAAAAAGTTGCTAGATATGCATTTTATATGCATTATTTCTTTGTTCTTTTTGTTATCAATAAGCTCAGTTTTGGCCATATCCAGGTCTGTATTTCTTAAAGGACTGCTGTGGGGCCTCCAGTGCTATTCTGTGCCTCTTTTTTTTTTTTATCATCCCATGCCTGTCCTCCTCCGCTCCTAATTCTATTTCTTCAGCCCTAAGGAACTTTATTCACATAACAGGCTTGCTTTTTCTATGCTGCTTTATTATGATAGTTTTGTAATATCTCTGGTGATACCACATAAATAGAAGTATATCAAATTGCCCACAGACACCTCAACAATTAAAGAGATGGCTGTTTCTTCTAAATAAAGTGAAATAAAGCTGCAAGCAGGTCAAGGAAGTTCAGACAGAGTAGACTTTGCAAACTTCAGTCCTGAGGCTTGGCAAATTCAGTAGGTAACTTGTGGTGTCCTACTAGCAGTGATAATAGTGCATTACAAAGCTGCATGACTATAGGAGGCACTGAGCACATTCCTTACGCTGATATCCCCTAATGTTGGGCTGTAATGTTCTGTGTTAGATTTATTTAAAGTAATTTTCTGACAAAAGACTGCACAGCTGATGACCTGATACACTCAAAACTTAAAAAATACAGGAAATAAGGTCATAGCAGTATGACAATGACAAAAGATGTCTTCACACAATGCGTTCACACTCCAAAGGAGAACTGGCTGGTGTTTTCCTGCTCACTGATCAGGAAGAGACCTCCACAGCAGGCGTGGAAGGCAAAATTCATGACTATTCAATCATGGGAAAATACCAAAAAGAAATGTGAAATTTTCCAGTTGGGAAAATAAGGATCAGCTACAATTACCAGTAATTTTGTATGGTTTAATTCACAATGGATATTCACATGTATTGTTATGAATAAGATGTGTCCTGTTTTGAACTGCCGGAATTTTGATTTTTAATTCTGTCCTCAAACTCTATTCATTATGATCTGCTTACTTGCTGTCAGCTCAGGGTTTGTAGGGAAGGATGATGAGACTGCATGTTACCTTTGCAATGTGGGAAAAGAAAGCTGCAGTAGCAAGCAAGAAAGGGACTCACAGCTCTAAAAGCTATGGTCTTGTCTATGCTGAATCAGGGGAACCTTAATTCTGATGCTTTTTCCCAGCACAACTCTTTATTTTAAACTGTTTTTATTCTTTGACTACTGATTGGTATGCTAAACATTACACTGCAGAAACATGCATTCTGTTTTCCTCTTATTATTTTTAACACCATAATACATTCAGTTTTTATCTGTTTTTTTTTTCTTTTTTGGCACAACTTCAGTAACAAGGGGCCCGTGTCCATGTTGTCACAAAGGTAAACTCCATTACCTAGAAACAGAGATTTTCTGTAGAAGGTGAGAAATGTGGTTGTAGCAATCACAAATGATCCTTTTTCTCCAGGGTTCAGTAAAGCAATGAGCCTATCTTTCCTCTTTCTGAGCAAGCTCTTTGAGTGCAATAATATTTTGTAAAAATTGATGTCACTCCCAACTGTTTTGAAGAAAACCCAAAATCATCCCGTTATCTGCATTTTGCCTGAAATTATTATGTACATCCTGGGAACATGAATAAGACCTTTTAGAAGATGTAGCTGAAAGAAACCTGAATGCTGATTTTAAGTGCTGGTCAAATTGGGGCAATTTTTTCCCCCACCTAGAAGTGTAGATCTTGGTGTCTAAATTTAAACTCAGAGTAACATAATGTAATGGCAATAAGAGGGGTGGCCAGCAGGAACCGGGAGGCGATTGTCCCCCTCTACTCTGCTCTCGTGAGGCCCCAATCTGGAGTACTGTGTCCAGATCTGGAGCACCCAGTACAAGAAAGACAGAGAGCTGTTGGAGAGGGTCCAGAGGAGAGCCACGAAGATGATCAGGGGACTGGACCACTTCCCCTTCTGAAGACAGGTTGAGGGAGCTGGGCTTGTTCAGCCCGGAGAAGAGAAGGCTGTGGGGTGACTTCATTGCAACCTTTCAGTACCTAAAGGAAGCCGACAAACAGGAGGGGAATCAGCTCTTTGAAAGGGTAGATAACTGCAGGACAAGGGGAAATGGTTTTAAGTTGAGGGAGGGAAGTTTTAGGTTGGATGTCAGGGGGGAAGCTCTTTACAGGAAGAGTGGTGAGGTGCTGGAACAGGCTGCCCAGAGAGGTTGTGGATGCCCTGTCCCTGGAGGTGTTCAAGGCCAGATTGGATGGGTCCTGGGTAGCCTGGTCTGGTATTAAATGTGGAGGTTGGTGGCCCTGCGTGTGGCAGGGGGGTTGGAGATTCATGATCCTTGAGGTCCTTCTGACCCTGGCCATTCTGTGATTCTGTATAAATGAGCAGTTTTTTAAAGACTGACATCTCATAGAAGACTGAATTTACAAGATCAAGTATTATATCCCACTATGCAAAGCTCCCTGTAACCTTAAAGAAGTCTTGTTGAATCACACTGATAATGAGATAGACTTTTACAAGCAGCCAGGTAAAAGTGAAACATCAAACTAGCTGCCTCCTAGCAGTTTTTCCTACCTGTTATGGGCAGAGGTACATGAAGAAGTAGAAAATAATTAGAGTACACCAGCCTGCTCTAGCAGAGGGTATGCTGGCTACAGTGTGTCCTACTGCATTGCAGGTTGTGCAAAGGGAAGCACGTGCAATTTCCTCAGGCTAAAATTTATCCATTTAATTCTTTTTTTTTTTTTTTCCCCCCAGAGGAAAGGGGAGCAATACAGGAAGCAAGCTAAGAAGAAACTGGTGTGTAGAGAACAGTTTTTACTAAACATTGACAGGCTTGAAAACAAACCTTTAAACAGTGTTTTTATACATGAGATTATCCTACTGAAAACGTGTTTGTTGGCATGGAGCTTACAAATATTTCCTCTGCTTTATATGTAAACCAAAGGTAAAATGATGATGTCCCTTGGATCTCAGACAATAACAAAATGAAAAAGGTTCACAACACTTAAAAAAGGACAGGAGTGTTTTACATTACATCAGTACTTTTTAGGATGAAGGAAATACACGTTTATTACATAGCACAGTTGCACTGTGTTGAGTTCCTTTTCATCTCTTTCAGGCCATCTCTCTTCTCTTTTAACAAACTAAATGTTGAGTTAGACTGTTTCATGTGGGTATTATATGGGTATCATCTTATGGGTTTTAAGTGTGATATGTACATAAGAGCAACATTATGTTCCTTGCTTAACTGTCACTCTTAAATCCATAACTCAAAAATTATAATTCAAGTTCAGCTATTATTTATGTAATCTACTCTATTAATACTTCCTCAAAACAGAAGTGTTATATATGCACGTATTTGATTTTCACTTTATTTTACTTGAAAACTATCCAGAGGAGCTCAGTTCTTTACACAGTGAGAAACACGTATTTTAAGGTCTAGATTTCTAAGGCTATTTATTAATATTAAGGCGTAGATTTTCAACAGTATCCAGTTACATACGTGTGTGTGTGTATCTATCTCAGCAAACATACTTGCGTTTTTGGCAATTAAATACTTTGTAAAGAGAGGATGGGATAAAGCCAGAAAGCTTTGCAGCAAGCAGGCCCCAGGAGATTCTTTCTTAAGAGGTTTTTTCTCTTAGGGAATTCTTCCACCAAAGCGCTTTCTTTTCTCAGGGAGTTCCTCTCCCGAGTACTTAATTTAGTGGGAGCCTTTTATACCCACTTCTCAGTTTCTTTTTTTCTTCTTTTCTCTCTTAGTGTGATGCACCTGGCTCAACAGATAAGCCAGCAGGGAGTGGTGGCTTCATTGCATATTGCCTTTTGCAGTGGTGGGCTCCTTCAAGCTGCACAGTACCCTTCCACCCTAACCCTCCCTCCCCCCTTCCCCCCCCCTCGGAAAAAGGCTGCTTGTCTCGCTTCTGCTTATCTTTACAGTCATAAGCAGATGCATTGTGGCCCTAGGTAATTTGCACTTGCCAATTTTATCACCAAAAAGGCCTCATGAAATGACATTTGAGCCAAGGAAAAAAAGAAAAGGAATTCAGGAAATAGTCTTTCACACTCAAGCCCTCTAGTTCTTGAGGAGAGCTTATAAACAAGACAGACCAACTTTCTATATGGCCTGATGAACTAAAAGAGGGGAACTTTAGGTTAGATTTTAAGAAGAAATTCATTACTCAGAGGGTGTTGAGACAGTGGTGCAGGTTGCCTAGAGAAGTTGTGAATGCCCCATCCATGGAGGTGTTTTAAGACCAGATTGGATGAGGTCCTAGGAAGCCCAGTCTTCTGGTTGGAAACCCGCTTCATAGCAGGGGAGCTGGAATTAGATGAACTTATTGGTCCCTTCCAGCTTAAACCACTCGAAGATTCTAGGATTCTATGATCTGTCCTGATCTTCGCATTTTGCAGTATTAACTCATACATCATACTCTCTAACCTCTTAATCTAACCTTCTTTTGACTTTTTAGTTCTACACTGGCAAAATTGTGTCATATAGCTACTTTTAGCTTAAATTTAAGGAAGAAATAGATATGGAAAAGAGTGCAAAAGATTGCAATTTAAAAGCTTAGGAGTTCAGGCTTAGGGTGTTGTTGTAGACATTTGTTTTTATTTAGTAATACCAAAGTTATAAAATTGTTTAAAAACATAAGGATAGTGCTGTGAATAAATTATGTCCAAATGTGGTTTTTTTTTGGTACAGAAATCCACCTGGGATTTCAGAACTGATTGAGATTCTTGGAAAATCATTAGTCTTAAAAAACTGTATAGATATGACAAGGTACGTGTGGCATGAGAAAACTCTCTGGTATAAGGGAGAATTGCACTGTTTTTTTTTTCTAGTTCTTAGGATATATTTGAATTCTATGTTATTGGTAGTGTTGACTTAGAAATATACAAAAATATGTAGTACGTTATCTTTTCCATGAAGATAGGGGAAGGATGAGGATAAGGAGGAGAGCTGGGCATCACTGAAAACACACACATCTAGTGTTCTAATGTTAAGCATATTAAAATAATAAGTCTCTTTGAATTGCCATCTTTGGATAGTGAGATATACAGTCTTAAGGCCAGAAGGGTATTATGATTATCTTTTAATCTGACCTTATGAGTGAAACAGATCATCGAACTCCATCCAATGATTCCTCAGTG